CACTCATCAATTTGGAATTTGGTGAGTTGTAGACGTCCGTGGCGGTGGGCTACTTCATTTGAATCCTCCTTACTCCTTAGGGTTTCTTGTTCAAGTATCTAGCCATTAATTTATCAAGAAAATAATTACAATTACCTTTAAATGAACACCACCTCAATGAGTGATAAAAGGACGACCCAATAAAGCTACTCAGTTTGCGAGTTTCAAAGGGAATGTGTACTTTACAGAAACTTTATTTTTGCTTTGCAAAGAAATTGGTTCCATAACTCGAAACTGTGACTTTTCAATCACAAAGAACCAACATTTCCGTGGCGCCAAAGCTCGTCAATGAATGATGTTCCAAGGAGATTAGAATCCAAGGGGTGTCAATGTAATTTTAGAAACTTAAAAGAGTTATGTGAAAACAAAATAAATCTCAAGAGATGTTACTGAAATTAATCCTCCCAAAGTCGCCATGTACAAAGTACAACAACGTATCCTGACACCCTCGTTATTCAGAATCCGGAACGAGACATTCCCACTGCAGGACCATCGTGGTCCAAATTCTTTTCCATTTGCTATGAGCGTATGTAATCTCGCCACTTTTGTCTTTTCTTGTCATGAGTTTGGCACAGTTACATGACCATATTCCACCACGAAAATCGGAAAATGCATTCTTAATTTTGTTTTAGCCAGACTACTGACTACTAATAACTCTCGAACGTGTAGTTTGGCTATGGAACAAACTATTGATATCTCATCAATAATGTGTTTATATCATTGCCGCCAATAAAACGCATCGATATTTTTTACAGCAACGATGCACATCTGTCATGCAGACAGAATCTCTGCTGAAACGGGTTGTAACATAATTTCATCTTCGTGTTCAATTACATAAGAGCAAATGAAACCTATGGAACCTTCCGGCCAGATTCAAGCAAGCCTGATATTGAAAACGACATCCACATGCAAAAAATATAAACATGAAAAAAGCCGGGTTCTAGCCAACGATTTTAAGCATTAAACTCTGCTCAGGAAATGAAATAGATGAAGTGCTGCAGAATCCAGCTTCAAATCTACTTCTGTTTCTGTATTCTTTTGTCCTTAATCGGCAGCTCCACTGGCATCTGGGCTTCATGGGGATGATCTGGCCCCTTGTACACCTTTAGGTGGTTGAAAAGCGCTCTCCCGAGCTGCACGAGAGAGTTTGTTTTAGAGGAAATATTCAGAACGGACAATGCAGAGCAGTAGCAGAGTGAACAACAGTAGTAAAGCCAAGCACAACAGTCATGCCGAGAGAAGAGAACCACTTGCATATACTTTTATTATGAATGAGTTTCGTGTTTCAATGAAATATATGCAAAATGAAAGATATAGCTTTCTTTTGTGTATGTGTAGGCATATAGGAAGATAACTTTGAGTACAAGAACTCACCCTCCCTTTCGGAAGCATGCCACGAACAGCATGTTCAATAATCCTCTCTGGGATTCTCTGCTGTAACTGGTCAAACGTTTCCACTGTCATACCACCTGGTCGTCCAGAATGCCTCCTGTAGAGTTTTTGGTTCCTTTTTTTGCCAGATACGGCAACCTTTTCAGCATTTACCTATAAATTTCAACACAATCATCCACTGAAGCATAGAAGTATTTGGAAGCGAAAATAAGAGAAACATGAAAAGAAGTAATAGTTAAGCAAATTCCAGAACCTTGAGAACCAGAGAGAACAGCAATACAAGACTTGAAAACAAAAATGAAAAAACGTTCTGCTAGAGACCCACAGCTTTAGAGAAGCATTTTTGGGCCTGCCCCACAGTAAAGCATATGCCCATCTGAGAATACAAAAATGATTTAACGCTAATTTTTTGGAACCAAAATGTTTTAAGACTGTTTCAGACTACATTGAGAGTCGATAATATTTATTACGATTCGTGCATTTCTTCTTTGCTCAATCCCTGGTTATCTTCTTTATCATTTTGATTTTTATGTGTAATTGTGAGAGATTTTTTTATGTTTATCAGGACAAAGTATTATTAAAAAACACCAAGGGGATGCTAGACATAGTACACAAAAATAGAAATGTAAAGATAACACAAAACAACTAATGGTGGAAAAGGATGAAGGAATATTTGGAGAACAGTCAAAAGCCTACACAGTAGAGAGTAAACGGTACTTGAAAAGACCTTCCTTTCCTCTAGCACAGGAAGGGTATAATGAAAGATATAGGGAAGTGCACTGGAAGTCGACACGAAATACAACCTAAATAACCAGAATTTTAATAACACAGCAGAAAGCAGACAAATAAAAACATCGGCCATTTTAACCCAAAGAATAACGACAAGCAGAGAAGAAAACAAGGAACAATAGTAGAAAAAGTGATTCTCACTAGAAATATCTTTCTTAGCCTTCTATGAAAACCTGCACCATTAGCAGTTATAAAATAAAAATACTAAATCTCATATGTGCTTGAGTTCTTTATCAGTTTTATCATCACATTTTATGGTTGAAACTATACAAGTAGAGTCACTCGACAATCATATAAATCTCGACAATCATATAAATAGACTGGGAAACATTGGTAGTACCCCATTTTCTGGATTCTGGACCCTTTTAGCTCCAAAACAATATCAATATCAGTAACCACAGCCATTTCTTATAAATCACATGAAATAGTCTCACTTGGAGCACCAGAGGCTTCAGATTGTGTGAATACTAATCTTCCAGACACCCATGGAGGACCTCCAAAAAAAATTTACCAAGCCCAAGTCTCGACAAAATGATGAAGGAACCAAACAATTCCAAATATAAAGGGATAAACTAGCAGATTAAAAATAGAGACAAAGACTAATCAACTTCAAGGTACGTAGGCAAATGGAAGAGAGCATAAAGATGCATGCATATACGCTGTTAAAGAAGATGTAATGAAATTCTCAGCACAACGAGAATTATATCATTTCAATGATCTCAAGTCAGGACTAGACATTGATCTAGAAATATCTAATTCCACAATAACCAAAACCTTAAGAACCACTCCCCAGCCAGAACCATATAAGTCAAGGAAGATGGTAATTTAGTCTGCATCTAGAGCAATGACAATGAAGAGAAGCATGTGCATAACTAATAAACTATACACTCCACATACCACAATGACAAACGCTCCCATGTCCACACTAGGGGTGTAGGTCGCCAAATTCTTCCCGCGGATGTAAATGGCAATTGTGGATGCCATTCGTCCAAGAATCTTGTCCGTGGCATCAACGATAAACCATGGCTTGTCAGTATTCACATGGTCTGCAGCTTTTGGATACCACGTATTATTCCAAATGTCCTGGGAAAAAAAGAGTGGAAAACCTGAGTAAGGACCTAAGTGCATATCGACATTGCCCTCAAAGAAAAGTACATATTGACATCAATAACTTCTAGGATAGCGTATTTACACAATCTTTAATAAAAATGTATGTATATATTATTAGTAAGCAGACCCAAAGCATATACTCAAACTCAATAACCATGTTTGAAGAAATCAATAGAAGTTTCCTACACACAAAATACACTAAGTTTTCTTTAAAACTATCCATTGGTCACAATTTTTCACATTGAAGACTACATAAGTTACTGTTTAAGCTAAACAAGCTTAGTAAACCGGTGTTTCGTAGAAATAAGCATAAAGAACAAGTCTTGAGCACACCCACCATTAAAATTCAAATCCTTTTTCTTCTTTGCTTTCTGGGTCCACATTTCTAACTCAAAATTTTCGGAACCAAAATTGAAAAAGTACTTTTTTTGCTACATTCTATCAAAAACCAAACACAACCCAATACACATACGTAATATATATGTAGAGATAGAGAGAGAGAGAGAGAGAGAGCGTGAGTTTGAGGACATACAGGGCCGTCGACTTCGTAGTCCTCGAACATCCATCGCTGATCCAAAGGGACCCGAACGAAGTCTTTAGTTTTACTGCTGAAGACCTCGAAGCTCCGACGCGGCGAACCTCCATTGTTGAAGCTGAGGTCGGTGGTGGAGGGAATCCAGAGCTTCTGTGGTGGCGCCACCGAGAACCCAACAAATGGGGTTTTAATGGGGGGTTTTAATGGGGGGTTTTGAGGAGGAGGAGAATGGGGGTTTTGGGGAAGAAGAGCAAGTGGCGGAGGATGAAAGCATGAAGGAAGAAGAAGATGAAGCTGCAAGCGAGAGTACGGACATTCTGATGTCTCAGAGTCTCACTCACTCCGCTGTGTTTCTGGGTTGGGTTTTGCGGAGTGTTTGTTGATAAAAGAGGATAAGATGGTCGACTTGCAGATGAACGTAGGTCTAAACGCACCGCATCGGTTTCAATTTTAATTATTTTTCCAATACATTTAACAACGTAACATTTGTTTTTTCATTTAAAATCCTTCCAAGCGAGCCGTAGTTGAAGTACACGTCACAAATACAAGTCTTGAATTGGTGAAAATTGCGATTTTCTATTGTACAAGCGATATTCTATATTAAATTTATTTACATGTTCAAACTTTCGGTACAATTGAAATAATACATTGTTCTAGTCAATATAACTCAATCCTAAGTCTAATGCGATTTCAAGTATCGAAATTTATTAATTTTCTAATTGACAAGAGGGGGTGATTCAAATTTAACATAGAAAAATGTTTAGACTAAGTTTGACTTCATAACAAGCTATTAACATGGTGATTTTTTCATGTGAATGATAAAAGATGTTTTCGATTTATATTTCTTTTTTCACTTCTTTTTAATGAAACAAGAGATTTTCTTTTCAAGTTTGTCATTAAGTTCCATAACTCGAGTGATTTTGGAACCCAATTAAAACCTCGACTAAACTTCAAGTCATTATATGGAAGATATTTTGAAATTGACTCTTTATTAAATAAATTTGATATTTAATATACAGAGAATATTTTATATAAAAAAAAAACATGGAAGATCCAAATACCTTGATAATGACACGTCATATGGATTTTCCCCAAATACTTCACTTTTCCTTCACACACGCTCAAACCCGCATTCAAAATACACAAAAAAATGGCATTGTCGACAACTCACCTCCTCCTACACATCAAACACCCTCGAATTCCTTCCTTATTCCAATCCCAATCCCACCGCGTGTCCTCCTCCTCCCTCCCCATCCTCCGCACAAAATTCCTAATCCCAACCCACCCTCGCCACAGCAATCCCCCCAAACAAACAATGAACAGGCCTCCCGCAGCCAGTGTGCAGAGTGCTGTGTCCCAGGCAATGAGCCTGATCCAGTCGTCGCCTCCGACCTGGCAGTCCTCCGTCCTCAGCAACCTCCTGATCTTCCTGCTGGGTTCTCCAATTCTGGTCTCCGGACTCTCTGCCTCTGGCATTGGAGCTGCTTTCTTGCTCGGTACTCTCACTTGGCGCGCTTTTGGGTCATCTGGGTTTCTCCTGGTGGCCGCATACTTCGTCCTTGTGAGTGAAAATTTTCTTGCTTTTATGTATCTGAGTGTTTTTTGGATATTAACTTTATCTGGGTTTTTCTTTTTGTCTGTTTTCTGGTATAAATTGATTATTCTATTAGTTCCATAAAGCTTTTTGATAATTGATATCGAACTCGTCATCCAGGAGAGTTCTTAAAACAAGAATATCACTAAACCGTAATACTAAACGGCAATAATTGGTATTTGGTTTTATTTTCGTTATCAATTGCACTTTAAAGTTCTGTTCTTTTATAGTTTTTGTTAAATTTCAGTTTTTTTTTTTTCTTTTTGAAATTTGAGTGAGGGATGCAAAAATTAAGGTGCTGAACCTTCATAGTGACAGTTGATAACTTGACTCAGTTCAAAGGGGATTTTCGTGAAATCTGTAACTTTGCAGATTTAACAATTCCATGCTATTATGCTCATTTAATGAATCTAATTTCCAAATGATTTCGATTTCTGATCTTTCGTGATGGGGTTTTGTCAAAATCTTATCAGGGCACGGCAGTGACAAAGGTGAGGATGAAACAAAAGGAGGCTGAAGGGGTAGCCGAGAAGAGGAAAGGAAGGAGAGGCCCTGGCAGTGTCATTGGATCCAGTGCTGCTGGTTGTGTCTGTGCTTTCCTGTCAATACTTGGAGTAGGAGGAAGCAGACATTCTCGGCTTTGGCAACTAGGGTTTGTTGCCAGCTTCTGCACTAAATTAAGTGATACTGTCTCGAGTGAGATGGGAAAGGCATATGGAAAAACAACGTAAGTTTCTGTATTTGTTTGAATTGAGATCTTTGTGTCCATGTTGTTATTACTTATAACTGATCTTATGGGTCTAATATTGGTGTTCAATACTCAACAGCATCACATTTGGTTAATAAGTTTCATTTTTATTGGCATTACATAAATTAGCAACCCCAGAAGTTTCTAGATATACGGCATGTGATAGTCTATTGCTTGAAATTGTCATAGTTCATCTCTCTCTTCGTCTTTTCTTATTAGATTTTATACATCGTTCAGCTTTACATGCTCTGGTGATTTCTTACATAGCATTAGGTTTAAACCCTGTACACCGTATGATTGACACATAAGATTGCCTCAAATTCTGATGGGTGCCAAAAAGGAAGATAAATGGTTGTGCCCGGAACATTCCAGCAGTTTGGCCAACCTAATGTCATTTGAAAGTTGAAACCTTCAGTCATCAACTGAATCTTGTGTTGGCTCGTAGGATTCTTTTTAGGTGACTGAGTTACTTGGGAACAGGCCTGCAAAACTTGGACACATAATGAGAAGATGGTTCTAGTAGTTTTTCTCATTGATTGTGGTCCTGTCCATCAGTAGAAGAATGGACAATCATTACTGAAACTATATTTTGTTAGATTTAGTTAGGCAATAGAATTGAGTAAACCCATAGTGTTCAAATAAATATGTAAGGGCTGATACTATGAAAGTGCCTTAATCATGGTATGCTTGTAGAGGTTAACCTTTCATTGACAGTGTAACACTCTCGTAAAGTGGAACGAACATAAAATGCATAATGATTTAGCCTTCAGGTAAAGTGCAACTAACATAAAATGCTTAATGCTTTAGCCTTCAGGTACAAAATCATTTTAGTCTATTCTGCAGTTTCTAGTGCGGGATGATTGCAGCATGGTGAAATTTGAAGCTTTAATTTTATCTTTTGAGTAGTTCTGGCGACTTAAAGAAGCTAGGAATTAAAAGTATCAAATTGAGAATTAGTTTGATATTAGGGTGAGTCACTTGCATCAACAACTAAACTGATGTGTTTTTTTTTTTTTTCCATGAATCTTAGAGCTTACAATTGAAATCTCTTTTCTAATCCAATTAGTTTTTTTCTCAAGGATACACCTTGTAAATCTTGAGCCGCATTATTTGCTACCAGAAACCCCAAACCCCCTAATATATACTGAAAGCTGCTGCCCCATAAAATTCTGCAACTCTCCCTTCCTAGGTCAGTCAGTTTTCTCATTTGGAAAAGAATCCAACTAGTGTTGTCCTAATTTTTCTGGTAACTGGATAAACGTGTCTTTTTCCTTTTGGATTTTAGATAAGCAATGATTTGTTTGAGATCATCACAAATTTAGTATTTTCTGGTACCCCGGATCAATTTAAAATTCCGATAACATAAATTTTGCTTCTTGACCAGGTACTTAGTTACAACATTAAAGGTAGTTCCAAGGGGAACAGAGGGGGCTATGAGTGTTGAGGGAACCTTTGCTGGACTTTTGGCCGCTATCCTTCTTTCGTTTGTTGGTTGTGCCATGGGTGAGGTGCTGTTTACTATATATGCCCTTCAATGTTTGTGTGTATTATCTTTTTGTCTGTCCCTTAAACTTCTATGTTTATAACATTCCTTGTACTTTTGGTCAAACAGGTAAGTGCACCTGAAGCACTGATATGCGTAATAGCTTCGCAAATAGCTAATCTTGGTGAGAGCATTATAGGTGCTGCTCTTCAAGACAAGGAAGGATTTAGATGGGTAGGTGATCATCCCAATTTTTTTATTCTTTATATATCCTTTTTTAGTACCTTTTTTTTTTGCGTATTATGTTCATTCTCTAATAAAGAATCAGTTTGGTATGATCGGTCATGACCATTGAGGGTTTGCTCTTAGCATATTAAGGAGAACCAATGGCCGGTTGAGCTCGATTCATGGGTTTCCTGAGCATTTTGGTAAAATAATGTTGTGTATGGGAAAGTATGGGGTTTTTTTGTCCTGTTGAGGACCTGGTGATAGAATAGATGGGCAATCTGGGGAGCACGGGGAGGTTCCTCGAATAATAACAATATCATGATACATTTTGAAATGCACAAGTTTCTTTGTGCTTTATTGGCACTAATTCCCCTTCAAAAGCATGGAGGTAGGCCCTAGATGTTACAGCTTCATAGTATATAATTTTCCTTGTAGTTTGTTCTCTGCTTCAATTGTGTGCAACATATTTCCCTCTGTTCTTACACCATGTCCATGCTCTATTTTACAGCTCAACAACGATGCTGTGAACGTCATAAACATATCGATGGGCAGCATTTTGGCAGTCTTGATGCGGCAGGTTTTGCTCCAGAACTGAGTATGTAAATTGTCAAATCCATGAAGGCTGAAGATGCTTCTCCGATGTGCCGACCAGCTATGCTAACAAAATCAAACATGATCCATATTTTTCACACTGGCGACCGAAAACAGACCATTGCGCTCAACGTGGGAGACGGATCACAGGCATGTTGCCTTATATCTCAGATGGCGTGTTAACGATTTAGCGAGATTATGCTCATTGGAAAATATTTAGAAAATGCTTTGGTTTGGTGTTGCCCGTTCCCTAAAGAAAAATGAAAGCTAGTTGAAAATGGTTTGGTGAACTATTTATTGTCGAAATGGTAAGGAATGTATGTACTATGGAAATTAATCTTTGAAGTAGTGAGAAATAGGATTATTGTGCATCAAGAACATCTTCTCTCTTATAATAACTTCCGTCGCATGCATAGCATGTCTAGAATATCTATTAACTTTATTAACCTTCCAAATGGGACCTAATCCTAAGGTCAAGTCAAAATGAAATGAACAAGATGGTTACTAATTGAACAAATTTCTGTAACCGTCACATGATGCTACTAATTCAAAAATCCGCCTTAATTGGGTTGGAATCTCATCTCACCATTTCTTGGCGGCCTTTCATGCAACCATGTCAAACCAAAACAAGAACTCAGACCAAACCAACCAATTTCCTCTAACAAAAACAGAAGCAGCCAAGTAGAAATCGAAGGTGCTGAAGGTGGCAGCAAAGGATAGAAGCAGAGCGATCGATACGCTCGAATCTGCTATCGGAATGTATGAGAGGCTCTTGGAACTCATCCTCAAGGAAGCCAAGAAAAGTGTCCACCTTCCTCGAGAAGAAGAAAACTAGATGCAACGTTTACTGTTCGTTCAAACAGGCACCAACACAGAATTGGTAATGTTGCATTTATCCTATAGCGTTGATTCGAATGGAAATTCATCGGACAAAAATCGTGTACACAGTTAAGGTGTAACAGACTAAAGGGAGGACAGAAAACTGCCTTAAACCATTCAAATCGACCAAAACCAAACCAATCCGAGCAGTTCAATTCTAATTTTACCCTAAAACAGTATAATCGTGAACCGAACTGAACCAAACGCAAATAGTTGGATTGGTTTGGCCTCTGCACGAAAGCCACCTAAGCCGCATCCAATCCGTGAAACAGACAATACAGGAAGCCTTATCAAGGGACATTATCCTCCATGGCAATCCTACTTCTGGCTGGTACTAGCAGGCCAACCATTGAAGTATTGATCCTGCCATGTGAAATGTTATCCCCCAATTCAACATGTAGCATATGCTCTTCTCCTATCTTTCGTGCAAACAGGTTGTATATAATTCAAATAAAGAAGTGTTTCCAAAAAAAATAATGGAAGTGTAGAATTTTTCAGGTCGACGGGCCAAGGGCCCGCTCCAACAACACCATTACTATCCCCACTTTATCGCTTGCCCAATCCATCAAATGTGAGGTTTTATCACAAAAAGTCCCCACTTTACCACCTACACAATCCGTCAGGTGTAGGGTTTTATCATAAAAATTCTCGGTGTTAGTTAGAGTGAGACAATTCTATTTAAATGGCTCTTTCTAAACCTCGGTGTTAGTTAGAGTGGGGTAATTCTATTTAAATGGCTCTTTCTTCTTCCATCTGTCCAATGTGGGACAAATGAGTTCCAACACTCCCCCACACGTGAGATCTCGTTTTATGGGTCACACGTGGAGATCCACACATCGGCAACCACGTAGAGCCATGTCGGGGCTCACCCATCGCGCGGGGCCAAACGGGGACCCATCCAATCACGTGGCAGTACGAGCCCATCCCCTGGCTCTGATACCATGTAGAATTTTGTCCCCACTTTACCATCTACCCAATCCGTCAGGTGTGGGGTTTTATCACAAAAAACCTTGACGTTAGTTAGAGTGGGGTAATTCTATATAAATGACTCTTTCTTCTTCCCTCTGTCTCTGTCCGATGTGGGACAAATGGGTTCCAACCAATTTGATTATGAAACATTCCTAACGTTAAATGACACGAGGCATATTAACCCTTAATGCAAAACAAAATTACAAATCAAGATTTGACAGTACATAGCATAATAAAGTAGTGGTAGGCATGGAGCTGGGGACTAAGAACATCATCAAGAGGGAAGAAGCACAGAAATTTCTAGTCGATCATATCTGATATCAGTCAAACAGCACCGCAGGGTGACGATATCTCAAACGTATCAGGATACCGCCACCTTAGCATCCGAGTTGCATAAGAAACTGAAATCATAATGCATCACAGTTTTAACAATATGAAATGAAAGAACAAGCAAGGAGGTCCAGCCCTTGTGAGACTGCATGTGAAAGAGAGAAGTATTGACATGACCAGAGATGCAAAGAGTCATGGGCAGGTCATCAGTTGTTTAGATTGTTTAAGATAAGATGTCACAACAGCGGCTGAGTTTTTCCGATAGCACAAATGCACCTAAGGATCTAGTAAGTAGCCATAGGTTCAATGTTTCTAAATTGACGAAGAACTAGTCTTGCCTAATCTCTCTATTTCTTAAAGAAGAAAACGTGTTTATGGACATTTAGAATTTCATGAGCAGGGTAACAACTCTGGACTTCTTCTATCCGACAAAGGAGAACATTTTAAATCTAAATGGGTAAAAATCAAATTGAATCTATATGCAATAACCAAATACAACTCGTTTATTTTTTATTTCGCGGATTGATGTTTACAAACATTACAGGAGATGATGGGAAGTGGTAAGTAAGACATTATGTTGGGAATGGTACACAAAATCACAAGCGGAGAAAGAACGGTGCACAAAAATACTGTATTATAAGCACAACAAACAAACCCAGCATATGGTAATTTTTGAAGCAGGAACTAGAATTGCCTACGACGTTTTGAGATAGTACCATTATGTTGGGAACGAAGAGAATTTTGCATTTGTGAGTGGCAAATGTCTGGAACAAACGTTGTAGAAGAATCGGACAGATTCTGAAAACTTTTGGGCCAGTAGAGTCCCGATGCTGTAGGCGGGGAAGGTACCTGTGGCACCATCCATGAGGTCTCTGGCACCTCACCTATGCACTCATAGTCTTCCAATTCCTCCTCAGATGATCTTAAAACTGGCGAGTCATACCCTCCAAGTTTACTGCAGTCAGCCTGGTATCACAAGAAAAAAGCAACATTATGCACTGCTATAAGTTAGAACGATAATGCTTAGAGAAATATGCCAAGGAGCAGGTCATCACTCATCACTCATCAGTCATAACCAAATTATTGAATTCTGTCAACTGCTTGACGGCCTAACATTAGCGAGCGCTTCAATAATCACAAGGGCCTTGCAACACAACAGCTGTAAAAGCGGTTTACGATGACCTATAGTACACGCTTATAGGACATCTCCTTTTTGCAATTATGAAGTGCAATCTTATGAATCTCAAAATACTTGTCCATTGAAGAGCTTTAAGACCCAATTTGTAGTACTTCGCATTCGAATTTTCATGAAACCGAAAAATTGGCACCACAATTTCGAAAGGTTTCTCCAAAATAAATTGTTATTTGTTAAGTGTAATCAAAATAAAGAATGTATTTGCAACAATGCAATAGGATAATGATTGTTAAATAAATGAATAATTATAAGATTAGCATTGAACACAATGAGGCAGGCACACACCTTTGAAGATCCATTATCAATGTAGTCAAAGCTCTGATCAAGATCAGAGAATCCAAGAAACTCATCTATATAACATTGTGGAACACTCCCAGCTGCAGAACCCCCGGTAAACGATATCCCTCCACCGGGCGGCGCGCCCGCCTTGCACTCCACCGGCAACGGGTTATGAGTTTCACATCTAGACACAGAGGCAGACCCAGAATGCAACTTCACAGTAGAAGACGCCCCAACACAAACCCCATTACCTCCGCCGGAATCCGGCTCAGCTGGCTCCGGCCCAACCTTGATTCCGGTCAGCAAGAACCTCCGGTGAGCCGACACGAAGCTATTAGCCGTGTGAACAGATACATCACATTTTCTACACAGCAAAGCTCGATCTTCTAAGCAGAAAAAGTACCCAACTGCCTCCTGCAAAGCATAAACTCAAAAATTCAAGCAAAACCCAATCCAAATTTCGTGTTTTTACGATCAAATTTCTCAACTTTTTCGATGTGGGATTCGAATCTTTAAAGTATACCTGGCAGATATCGCACTTGGGCATGTGGGAGGAGCACAGAGGAACCCTCTGGTGCTTGCTCGCGAGCCTGTTCGCTTTGTGAACCTTCTCGTCGCACGCCCAGCACAGCGCCGCCTCGTCGGCGCAGCAGAGGACGTTCGCCTCCGCCGCCTCGCAAACGTTGCACTGTATCTTCATCTCTCTCTCTCTAAACCCTTCCAAAATCTCTTCTCTTGTGAGTTTTATAGGTGTTTCTATCTCCACAGTTGAAGAAGGGAGGAGTGAGCGAAAAACGAGTGATCTTCTCGGAGGACAGCAAGCAATTTGAAGGTGTACACGTGGAGGGATTTAACAAGTGTCGTGGCGTAGGAGGCCGCCGTTGCCTTGCAATTGTTGATTGCAAGACTGTTTACAAATATCTTCGGGAGCTCAACTGACACTTCTTTCTGACAAACGAAAACTGACACAATGTAAACATCACAGAAATCTGGATCCTCTTGTGAGGATTCCAGAAATTCGTGAAAAGTATTCATTTATCTTATATCGTACAATCATAAATTATTTTAAATATTTTTATTTAAATTTAAACATAAACGGTAATTAACAAAAACTGATCGTATAATATATAATAACAAACATAATTTACAGATCCTTCCTCGTCAAATGAATCCGGTGAGGGCACCACAGGAACCCACAAAAACCAAATAGCCTAGTTTCCAACAGGATCCTCTCTGGATCCTCATCAAAGAATCCGGGGAGGGTCCTGTTGACACCACAGGAACCCACAAAAACCAAATGGCCTAGTTTCCAACAGGATCCTCTCTGGATCCTTTTGGTGAGAATTCTAGAAATTATGAATCGTGTCTGTTCATCGTATATCGTACAGTCAATTTTTGTCAAATACAGTTTGTGTTTAATTTTAAATAAAAATATTTAAAATGATTACTAACTGCACGATGTATAATGAACATGTACAATTCACGGATCTTTGAGATTCTCATAAAGAGGATCCGACGAGGATCCAGATTCACCTATTTTATAGTGGGCACTCCCAGAGCAACTAGGCATTATATGGAGAAAGAGGATTTTCTACCCTCCTATTCTCATCCCCTTTCATCTCCTTCTCACACACATTGTTTTTTGTCTTATTATCTCTATAAAAAAAAAAAAATCAATACAAGATGTTGACGTGATTTAACCGTAACCGTTCAAATAAGAGAGTATAAAAAGATAGAGATTAGAAAAGTAAAGAATCCTCCTCCCTGTATGGAAGGTACCAAAATTAATGAGAGGGCTCGACCAACTGGCATTGTTTGGTATGGGATGGTGCACCTTTCTTGTTGAGGCTTTCAACTTATGGCACGTTTATTTAATGCGTTATCAGATTAAGATGAATGGAATTGAAGGTAAGTTGAATTGAGAGGAGAAATTAGAATTAAATTTTTATGTAAGATGTTTACTAAACTGTTTAAAATTAAAGTATGAATAATGTTAATTCCATAAAAGTTGTTTACCAAATATTCCTGAATTTTGAAATTAAAACCAATTTAATTACTAAACTGCCCCATTTAAGAATAAGAAAGAGAAAGGCATCGGAATTTCATTTTTTTTTCTTTTGTCAAAGGGTGGGGGATGGTTGACAAAATTTTCAAGGCCAGGACCACGAAATTGAAGGCCAAAAGTGGAAGATGAAAGACAGTAGCATACGCTTCCAACTGCACCTCTATTCAAGTTTTGATCTTCTCATATAATGAGTTTCAATTTGATCATACTGGCTTGTTACTGGGTAAGATTCTAAAAGACGTTAGACACTAGTCAAGCAAGATTAGAGCCTAGCACCTAAGCAGGGTTAGGCATGGCCTAGGCAGACTAGACAATTTAGGTGAGCGACTTTTCTTAATTTTCAAATGCGTATGAATTAATGAGAGCGGTGACTAGCCGTCTAGCCCCCAGACGGAGTAAGACGGGAATTTTTAGAACAATGATTTTGATTGGATAGTGCGGTAGTAGTTTGACGGTGGTCATGGAGTTGATTCCCATTCTCGCCATGCCCAAATCCACCACCTCCCTGAGGAATTGAATTCCTTCAAAAGTATGAATCAGATTCCTTATTTTAGATTGGGTCCACATTACTCTTCATTCCTGTTGGGAAGGTTAACACAGGGTTGATCTGGAATTGGAATCATTCCCTCTATACTCATTCCGATTCCATGTATGTAAACACGTTTGATCCGAAATTGGAATCATTCACACTACTCATTCTAATTCCATGTAAGTAAACACATCATTAATGGGATGAGATGTAGGAACTAATTAAGGGTAGGTGTCCCTTAATTGTAGGACTATTGAGGCTATAATGCCTTATTTAATCTGCCTTAAATATCATCAATTATCAACTTTTGTGGTTCGAAACGCTTTAATCTTATATGTTACTTGTATAATAACACAGTAGTGCAAATTTGTTATTTGTAAAATAAAAATGTTACTCTTTCACATTACAGTAGAGCAAATTTTTTATTGGCACAACAAAAACACTAATCTTATCATATTTTTTATTCACATTTGTACTACGTCTCTAGTAGAAATGAGACCTACAAGTGTGGGTGGGCTCTACCTCTATTACAGAAGTGATACGAATGTGGTAATGAAAAATATGGTAAGTGTAGCATTACTCTTTGTACAATCATATAAGATAATCCACAAACGAACTAGCAATTTAAATAAATTCCGCACATCCATTTTTACCTCTCACACACCCCTCTCAATTTCAGACCATCAGATCGAATGAATTTAAGAAGATCAATGGATAAAAAATAATAAAAATGTGCATAAAGTAAATAAATAAATGGATAGCCCTAGAGATATGAACGTGATAACTAGTAGGAGGGTGTTCATTGAGGATATCAGAGAGGGGGTTGTTGTCTATGGAGGCTCTTTTTGGCGCTACGTCTTTCTCCTTCGCATGTTAAGGTTGTCTTGTTGCTTTCATCCAAGGATTTTAGGGCAGTTGTCGACTTCCTTGTATAAGGGTTGTTTAAGTCAAAGTACATTCAAAATGCTTGGTTTGAACTTATTGTTGGGGAATGTTCGCTTACTTGAAATAAAAGTAAATAAATTAGGCTCATATTTAATATATTTGAAGTCTGATGGTGGTGTTCTTACGATTGATCGTAGGAATTAAAAATTAAAAATTAAAAACGAAATAGTTATGAACTAGTCTTTACCAATTGTATCTTAAATTTATAAAAATTGTCGATATTGGAAAAGTAATTGATTATTGAGTGATGGAGCGAAATCAAATCGCGGTCCTTTAACTAGGTTAGTTCTATGATGCGGTAGAACCGTAGAACCTAGAACATGAACATGATCCATCATCTTGGCAGGAATTTAAAGGGGGTCCAATATTCTTTCGGTCGTACAAAATGAACTGCCAAAGAGTATTCGGATATAAATGCCGAACTAGGTCGAAAAGTTCTGTAGGTTCTGCCGACACAAATCAGGAACTTCGGTGCTGGGCTAAGAGAGAGTTGAGAGTTTGGGCTGGAGTCGGCCCATCACTAGATGGTTATGGGAACCCGACCCGAATCTCATATCTCGACATTTTTTTTTTTAAGAATTTAAATTCAAAGAGTGTCTCGTTCTCTCACGCAAATAAAGCTCAGCGAAGCACATTGTCCCCGGCATTTCCCGCCAAATTCGTTCCCAAACCGCTAGGGTTTCTCTTCAGTTCTCTCTCTGCATCCTCTTCGTATAGCTGCTGTAACTTCATCTTTCCGATTGGAAGAGGCAAACAAACGAAGAATTTCGACTTTTGCGGTAAATCTCCGCAAAAGTGTTACCACTTCATATTTCGGATTTCAGCGCCAATTTTCTCGTCCTTTCATCTGTGATTTTCGATTTCTTTTTACGTTTTGGCGTTTCAGGAAGTTTTTCGTATGAATCGGAGCACACTCCGAGAGACGGCCAGTTGAGCGAGCGGAAAATCACAATCGGACGGTCTGTAATTTGATAGCTGAAGGATTTTCTTTGAAACCAATGGAATCAAAGCTTTGGAGCTGAATTTTGGTCAAAGTTCGGGTATACAAGTTTATAACTTCTCTTTTTACTGTTTGGTTGCTGAGAAAATGTTAAAAATCAAAGGATTTTGCGTTTATTAAGCATTGATTATTTGATATTGATGAGGAAATTAATTGATTTTTCCGCTTCTTTGTTTTTATTTTCAGAAATTATATTGTCAATGAACATGAAGCTATTTTCTTCGTCTGTATTTCTTTGGACAGATTTGATTTCAATATATTTCTCACATTTTTTCTGTTCCAGTGGTTTCCTTTATTTTGGTTTCAGAAAGTGGTCAAAAATGTTGAAAATGGATAAGAAAAACCTATTTTCCATAGAATTTGTGTTAATATTTGCAAATGAACTCATTGCTCTTATAATTTGTAGCAAGTCTGCAATTTTTTATTACTGCACTGGAAAAAGTTTATGTTTCCTTTGTTCGTTTTGCCACAAGCCTCCCTGGTTTCTCAATTGAAACCCATAACAAAAAGCATTTAACCCATGTTTTATATCCCCTAGGTATGCCAGTGCATTAGATTGTCTTTGAAGGTTGAAATGAGATGCAATGCGTGTTGGCGAGAACTGGAAGGGCGAGCCGTTTCCACCACCTGTGGCCACCTTTTGTGTATCCTACAGAGAGGAAAATTTTGCGTCAACATTCGTGTAACTTAACTTTCTTGTGGAAATAGGGTTGATTGGTATATATGAATATAAATTTCCTTAACAGTTTGGAAAGGCACAGAGGATGCGGGCAAGATCCTTGGCAGTGATGGAGCGTGTCCCGTTTGTGATCAAGTGCTCTCTAAGAGGTAAGTGCCTCTAATGATCTTAGAATGGTAGCATTTTCTGGGAATCTGTATTCTTCAAGCCTTGCAGTTAAGTGTGCAGGTGCACTGTGCATACATGTACATAAATGAGAGGGTGTCATCTTTTATTACTAACAAGTAATATGAGAGTGTAACTATAGATATGCACTGTATGGGATAACTGCTGAATACCAAATTTAGTCTGTTTCCGGCATCAATGGTTGCTGCAGAATTCTTTTTCGTGCAGCAACCAGTTTGTGCAATCCTTGAGAGAACCGAAAAGTAAAGCCATAACATGACAGTTCCTGCCACCAATAAAACTTTGTGTTTTGAATAGAAGCACTGTGGCAAACTTATTTCCTACTTACATATAGCATCTTGCCCATCTCATTTTGCTTTCCTCTTGGCAGTCATATGAAAGCTTTTGATATCAATCCAAATGATGAATGGATAAATGTAAGCAAGTACTCACTGACTAGACCTAGCTTGTCTTCATGTTTTATATTACTTTTCCTTTTGCGTTTGTAGCTTCTGTATCCTTTTGATAATGATCGGAAGATATTCTGTTTCAGATGGCCATGATTGGAGTGTCTCCACAGATATGTATCCTTTTCTATGTTCTCTGCAATCTAATAATCTGATACGGTGATTGGTGCATTTCTTATGAGGGAGTGATGAAACTAGATTAGGTTTTTATTGCATTGTATTCAATGTTTTATAAAGGGACAATGGCAGGACATCTTTCCCTTGACAGTATTCCTAGTAATGAACAGTGCACACAAAAGTGTCATGTTCTACATTGGCCAAAGGGAATTGGAAATGCAGTGCAAGATGAACAGAATGCAAGCTCAGTATCGGCAGAAATTTGAAGCAATGCAAGAAAAGTTTGGTGAGAAAATGGAACAGCTGCATGCTGCATACCAGAAAATGGCAAAGAGGTGCCAAACGATGGCGCAAGAAATTGAGAGCTTGTCCAAGGATAAGCAGGAGCTGCAGGAGAAGTTTTCAGAGAAATCCAGGTCTCGTTTTCATACCCACTGATACTAATTCCTGAGGCATATAGTCCCGTTATTGGGTCCCTCGTATAATGATTTTCTCTATTATATACCAGACAGAAGAGAAAATTAGATGAAATGTATGATCAATTGAGGAGTGAGTACGATTCAGTTAAACGATCCGCCATCCAACCGTCGACCAATTTCTTTTCAAGAAATGAACCTGATATTTTCTCAAACCAAGCTAACATTATGATGGATAACAGAGAAGCTGTTAGAAGAGGTAACTCTTTTCCTTCTAATGTTGCAGAAATAAATTTGTAAAGCAGTAAATAAAAACCCTATGCTGACTTTTCTTTTCGATAAACCTCCCAAGTTCTGGATGTTTGATGCTATAACGTGACTGATCTGAACATAATAGCTTTATTTTTTAATCTCTGTCTCAAATATTTCCAAATCCAGTTGACTTATTTCTTGCAGATTGGTCCGTTCTTACTCCTGAAACTCCAGGGCCGAAGGAGGATATATGGCCAGCGAGACAGAATAGTTCAAACTCCGGCGGTCCTTTTGACATGCCGCTTGGCTCACCAGCAAAACAAGCTGCTATTCCAGTTGATGCTGGGAATAGAAGGGCTGGTGCTCACCCTATGTTTGGAAGCGGAGCTAGCAACCCCGCAATGACTTTACGGAACATGATACTCTCCCCAATAAAGAGGCCTCAGCTCTCCCGCCGTCCCCAGATGTTCACGTAAGTTGCAATTTTAGTTCTGCCAAGTTTACTTAGCTATCCATTCCTGAATTCTCGTGACCTGGTTTTCAGGTTCTAGGCTCGAAGTTGAGTGCTCGCTGTTTGCTGAAAGACATGCCGAATATGTTTACTATGACTATAATTTTCTTTTTCGAAAAGAAAAAGAGAATTCTCGCAGACCCTATTACGAAACAATCATATGTTGTAACAGAAAAATGCATCAGTTGTGGCATCATTTGGTGTAAATATTTTCGTTCTGGGGTGAAACAGCTTCCGGTGATATGGTTATGGCATGGACGTTGCACCCCGGAAGCTGATTTGCCTCCCAACTCTTCCCCCTTCCCTCCTTCACTTGATGTAATTTCCTTAGCAGATATCAATAGTACGGAATGTTTCTGGCAGGACACGTTTGTTACATATTCGACTACAATGGCACGGTTATTTACTTGGAATAGAGAAAGTTACTCGCGTGCTGGTAAACACGGGGATGTCAGGGTTCCAAATAATTCCAATATCGTTTCAAGGAAAATGTGTCATGGTTTCTACTGGAAATCAAAGAATCAAAACTCTACAACCCGAACGCATGTTTACAGAAGTTCCGCAATATTCACAGCTCGTATTTACAAAAATTTATTTCTACCCAAACATCCGTCCTTACGTTTCTTCACTAATGTTCTGTAAATGGTGGGGCAAAAAAACCTTCAAAACTGGGGCCTTGGAAGATATCTCTATGACATCGCCATCTTTTATGGAATAGCAAACATGAGAACCGTCAATGTATACGACCCCCTCTTTAGACAACCACGTAGCTTCCATGGACTGACGAGATTTGATTGATCCGTGCATTAAGCTTGAGGTGTTTCCTGGTGAAATGGGCTCTCTTACCATGTACTGGAGATCCTGAGATAAGATGGGCATCGGAAATCCGCCTGCTGAGAGCATTGCAGCGGTTGATCCAGCAGCTGTTGAAACTCTGAGACCACTTGATCGAGAGTGCACCAGTGGGGTACATGGCTGGTCATCCATTTTAATTCTGCTTGTAGGTGGGGGAGGGAAAGTTAGATACATGTTAGCTAGAGAGAAAGTTAGATGCATGTTAACTAAAGAAATAAGTTAAGCATACAGCTGTGTGACCATGGAGGAAGCTTACTTGAATGAGAATCGCGAAACTGCTGCCGGACATGGATGTGCAATTAAAATATCATTAAGAGCATAAGTCGGGTGTACTTTTGAGTTTACACATAGGGATATCCTTGTCAATTTGGAAGGATTAGCTCGACCCTCGAGGATGTTGTCCAGTACCTAAGAAAAGAAGAGCAAATCTTTTCAGAAGTTACGATACTTCAAAAGGAATTGCTACTTTGTGCTGGAAATCACCAATTTTTCTACAAATCCTTCACTCTGCATCTCCAAAACGTGTAATGATATCACATTTAAGTTGTGCGGAACAACTTCACAAGAAGTTGAAAATACAGAAGTTACTTAACTAAGACTAACTCCTAAGTGAGTGGGCCTGCCTACAACCAATTAACTGCACTTAATATTACATACTTCCATGCAGACCAACCCTAGATGCCTTTAATACCGTAGCAGGGCTTGGGCCGGCAAACAGATCTTTAACGCATGAGGTTAATGTTCTATGTTTTCTCTCCTTCCAGTACTGTCTGATCTTGAAGACACCCTAGAATAGAGGAGTAAAACTAGTAACTAGTCTCCGATCATCTTTAGGTTAAAATTCAAGATCAGTCTTACCTGTTCAAAGTTGTTGACTGTTGCACCGCAAAGATAGCCTGTGCTTCTATTAGCATCAAACTCATTCCTGAGCTTCTCTACCTAACCAAGGCAAAACCAGGAAGAAAGAAACAAAGCATGAACTGATTACAAGCCATGATTAAGTGAAACTCAGTGAACTAATACGCCGATATAAAGACTGAACCTCTATGGCTTAGCCAAATTAAGAGACTAACCTCTTCAGGTTGTGTGGGGTCAGAATTCACTCCTAGAACTGGAACCGTGTCATCAATGAAATGGCTGCCTTGTAATAGAGTGCCATCGCCCCCAACTGTAACAACAAGGTCCACATCACGGATAGGCTCGGATAGATTAGTACGTACTATAGGTTTCCACTCAACAGGCTTCTGGTGCAAAATACTCTGACACAAGTTTATTGCATCCTTGTGCACTTTTCGCCTGTTCTCCAAGTAATGTAGTACCTGCAATTTCTCCAAAGGAAACTGAATTATGAGGGTGCTTTGGAAAAAGCATAATATGATGAACTAAGAAAATATGAATTACTTGTATGCCTTTGCAAAAGTTGTCAAAAGATGGAACCAAACCATCCTTCCGAAACAGCAAGACAATCAATGTCCGGAGCACTATGAGAAGAGCAAGCCCATGACTCTCTGCTCTTCACTCGAGGCTCCATTTAACGTGAAAATACAAAGTTTAAAGAATATTCCCACAACCAAAGACATAGCTAGAATCGTGTCCTTGATTAATATACATGTACAATCACAAAGCCAAACGTTATTGGTGAAACGATTTAATACCTTAAATTGGTTTGGCATTTTCTCATTTACCGGCTTTTACCAGTGAAATCACAGTTGACATAAATCCATCGCAAATTCCACTTATTCCAAGAGTTTCTCCAACATCAGTTCAGCTTGTAAAAGCCTCAATCATACAAAGTACGGGTGAGAAACTAGTACCATCATAAAAAAAAAAATCCCGGCCAAAGAAATACCGGAGTTTTTCCGCAAGCCCAAACACACAAATCAACCATCGTCGGCATCGTCAATCATGATACATTCATACATGATTCTACACATATATACAAAACAACATAAAATTCTAAAAGACAAATCATGGTTTAAACTACAATGTCTTGAAAATTGGTAAAATGGCGAGCCAACACAACAAGGTTCCCTACTTTGCGAGGGTCGGGGAATGTCCTGAAAATTGGTACAAAGTACAAATCTTTTTCACCTTTCTCACTCAAATCACAGACTTCTTAAGTTCATTGATTTCGTTTAATAAAAAAAAAAATCAATTTTTTTCCCGAGCTTCTTCTCATTTCAAACCAAATTTATTAACTTTGGCATTTTAACAAACAGGTTGAATGCTTAAGCTGAAAATTGCAAGCGACCCATCAAAACTAGCAAGGCAAGCAGTTCGAATATGAGGGTCCACGAGAAGGACCACGTTGTAGCGGACACCGAATCAGAAAGAAGCAAAAGGGGCATGGTGGTACCTGAGGGTTGGTGATGCGAGACAGACCCTCTGATTGGCCGACTGGGTAAACGTCGAACGGTTTTAACAGCAGCAACAGTCTCCTCCTCGCCATCTCTCTTTCTCTCTCTCTCTCTCTGGTGTGATGGTGGACCGGCCAAAGCTCCGTTTAGACTTGCATGTGGCGGAACCGTAACAGGCTACATTGAACAATTTCTCACAATTTAGGGCCTTTCTTTTCCACTTGTTCTTGGTAACAGTCAGGGACTTAGGGTAGGGTCTATTTAGTATTTAGTATATTTTTATTTTATTTTATGTTTTGTGTAAGAAATTATTTTGTTTTATGCTATGGTTTTAATGGAAGATTATAGTTTTTCGTTTGGGATATGATATTCACACACCTGTTTTTACTTCTTTCATATTTTTTTAATTTTTGATCGTTGGATCGGATGAATTGAAGAAGATCAAAAGGCAGAAATCAACAAGAGATGTATGAAAAGTAAAAAAATGTATGTAGATAGCACACTCTTTCGTTTTCATTTTGTGTGTCATTACAAATACATTTCTTCTGCTTCCCTCATGATCATTCCTCAACTATTTTTTGTTTCTCTTCTTTTTCTTATGTTTTTCTTTTGTATCTCTACCAAAATTGAAAACGAAAAAATTGAATGGATGAAACACAATATAAACGTTCAACTAGCAAAAAGGCTAACTCGGATGGTTCGGTTTGAAACTTTGAGCTAAAAACTAACAAAAACTGTACTTTTGAGACTAACCACAACCTACACATGTTGCATCTTTATTCAAACAATATTCTAATTAATCTAGTTAAATTGCTGCTCTAATCCAGTTATGGGCCTCTTTATAAACGACTTGAATGGTCCACACTCTTTCTAAACGACAAGAAATTCACGTATTACTTGTTATCACTTGTTATTCCATTCCACACGTCATTTCCACGGCAAAGCCGCCGCCGGTAACGATGGCTGGGGCAAGCGTTTGGTGAAACTAGAGAAATACTTTCAGAATTATATATAAAGGTAAAACAGTAATTTTATTGACGCAAGAAATCACGAGTTCCACATGAATGAAGTTGTGAATAGAGCTAGTATTTACAAGCTATTACATTTTTATGTAAATACTTTTCCTCACATTTCTTTACTGTTGTTTGCAAATTGCGAGACAAGAAAACCTTCAAAATTGGAGCCTTTGAAGATATCTCAATGGCATCCCCATTCTGTATAGAAAAGAAAACATGAGAACCGTCGATGTATACGCCACCTTCTTTACAAAACCATGCAACTTCCATGGACTGATGTGATTTGATTAATCCATGCATCAAGCTTGAGGTGTTTCCGGGTGAAATGGGCTCTCGTACCATAAACTGGAGATCCTGAGATAAGATTGGCATCGGAAAACCGCCTGCTGAGAGCATTGCGGCTGTTGATCCGGCAGCTGTTGAAACCCTGAGGCCACTTGACCGAGAGTTCACTAAGGGGGAACATAACTCGCCGTCCCTTTTAATTCTGAAGGCAACGATTCAGGAATTTAAACAGTTAATAAAAACTAATGCGTGTAAGCTAAACAAACAAGTTAAATATATGGCTGATCAGCAGACCACGGAGGAACTTTTACTTGAATGAGAACTGCGAAAGTGCTGCAGGACATGGATGTGCAATCAAGACATCGTTAAGGGCATAAGTTGGAAGCACTTGCGAGTTTACATATACGGATATCCTTGTCAATTTGGAAGGGATAGTTCGACCCTGGAGGATGTTGTCGAGTACCTGCGGAGAAAAGAAAGCAAATTTTCAAAAGATATGAATTGTGCACTTTCCCTATTCCTGCTTCTAAAGACACCCTAACTAGAATAGAGGAACCTAAATTTGACTGGTCTGGATTCTGTTTTGTATTGTGTCAAATTCATGATTTTGTTTTACCTCTTCGAAGTTGTCAATAGTTGTGGCGCAAAGATATCCTGTGCTTCTGGAAGCATCAATCTCATTGCTGAGCTTCTCTACCTGACCAAACAAAATATTGTAAATACGCTGCTCCGAAAATTACCAAGTCTCAGCCCAAAAATCAGGGAATATGAGGAAAAATTGAACTCGTTACAAGCAAGGATAAAGCACAAGCTGTACAACTAAGGAAGCTAGCATGCCAATATAAAGAC